CAATACTGTTTTAGAGAGGGTGAAAGGGAAGCATCTATCAGGGCTGGAGAGTTGGGACAGGTATCCCTTTCTATAGAAGAGTAGCCTGTGCAGGTCAGGAGAAACTGAACAACCTCGGTGTTCTAGGGGAAAGCATGTCATAAGGCCACCACAAACATCCACAGTGCTTGGCATTTCTCAGTTAACCAGGTTGTTAATATATATCTTTCATAATTAAATTAGCCTCATAATTCATTGATTAAATATTTAGTAAGGACAACTGTGTGGTTTAGCTTTAAGATATGAAAGATCTGGGAGATATTAAGTGAGTTGCCTAAAGTAAAAAAGAGTAAAAAAGCCAAATGACATAGTAAGGAACTTAATTAAAATTAAATATTTTCTCCTAGAGTTTTTCCAGCAGCTGATTCATTACAGTGAAGAATACAGACATGTGCCAATGCTAAAACTCTGGCTTGGCACAGTACCAGTAATAGCCACGGATAAAGCCGAAACTGTAGAGGTGAGTAGATGGTGACTATGATTAATGTTTCTCTGTATATTTGATGGTGTGAGAATCTCATCAGAATAAACAGCAAATATATGTCCTTATATTTAATTGAATTCAATACAATGAGGATACCATTAAATATCTAAGGTTGTGAAGGTGCCCTTTAATGCTTTCCAGATAGAGTCTGAGTTCTGGGAAGAGTAGCAGCTGCTATATGTCTATACACATTTGGTATCAAGTAATATATTTGTCCTCCATTTTTTGAGAAGTCTTCAATTGAACAGAACCATAAATAGATTATTCTACAAGGTGAGCTTATATAATCTTCCAGGGACTGTTTTAAGATTACAAAAATATAAGACTAATAAAATATCTGTGTTTCTCTTAAGAGGCTCAGAGTATCCATTATACTTTTATGATTTCAAGTTAATTTTTTAAAAGAGAACACTAATCTGATATTGATGGGGAAGATGTTGTTAATTCACGCTATTGAAATTAGTCCTAAAAATTGTTTACCTTTCTTTTCCTTATTATCATGACATTGAGGGTATTATCTTATGCTTTGATGACAAAGGATTTGGTTCAGGAAGTAAAAATGGGAAAAACAGACTTTCTCTTCATAGAGAAAAATTAACAGCAGAATTTCCTAGGGTTGCTGGGCTTGGATACATCTTTCTTACTCATTGTGGTAAAACTCTTAGAGTGTCTCTGGTACCACACTGCCCAATGCACTGGTCCAGAGGAGATAGCGAGAGGGCCACAGGTGGGATTTCAGCCATTGCTGGCCTAGTGTAAGTGGGCTTAGTACATGTGGATAGAGATCTGTCCAAAGTAGGGAACTGCAGCAAGATCCTGAGAAGCATTTTTGCATATGCTCATCCCTTCTGCTTTACTTTGGCTCCAGGCAACCTAATTATACCCATGGTTCCCAATGCTACTTATATCCTGGAGACATTCAAATGTGTACCTAGTATAAGCCTTAATCCTGAGCTTCATACCTGCTTTCAGACTATGTCAACTGGAATGCCTCCAAATCAACATACCTGATCATGAACTTGTGATTTCCATCTCCCTAAATGTGGTCATCCTTTGCTTCACCCACTTTCTCTTCCCTCACTCCTACCCTCAATAAACAACT